ATGAGTGACGAAACGTTTCTCCCACTGAAAACGCTACGTCCAGATGAACAGAATCAAACATTTGAAGTGAAGGGTAATGGTAGAGTCAGAACTGATCAGTGAAGCTTTGTTCTTTGACCAGGAGAGATTTTCTGAAATGTGCATGCAGGAACTTGGTGCCACTGATTAATAAAATGTAGGACTGTTCCTTTATCAGTGTCTCACAGTATGTGTGTGAGAGTGATGTAATGTCCATGTGTGCAAGCTGACTGTGCTGGTCTAACCCACCCTTCTCCTTTCAGGGTGGAGCCTGCTGGAGTCCGATGGTTGAGACCAGGTCTGAGGAAGTGTAAGTGTGTTTTTAATTCATGAAAACAAAGCAGCACACATTCAACCATCTTCAAACTGTCACATAACTCATTCACATCTCTGATGTCAGGAGTCATCATCACAGTGTCAATGAACAGATGATGGCTCAATAACTGCAGCTGGATTGTGTTTGTTCTCTCCATCAGATTCCTGTCAACTCACAATCGACACAAACACAGTACACACAAACCTCAAACTGTCTGACAATAGCAGGAAGGTGACGCGTGTGGAGAAGGTTCAGTCATATCCTGATCATCCAGACAGATTTGATGGTTTGTGGCCTCAGCTGCTGTGTAGAAATGGACTGACTGGTCGCTGTTACTGGGAGGTTGAGTTAAGAGGAGATGTTTTTATATCAGTGAGTTACAGAAGAATCAGAAGGAAAGGAGGCAGAGATGACTGTGTGTTTGGATGGAACGACCAGTCCTGGAGTTTGAGGTGCTCTGATGATGGTCCTCTGTCTGTCTGTCACAATAACAGTGGAATATCCATCTCCTCCTCCTTCTCCTCTGCCTCTAACAGAGTAGCAGTGTATGTGGACTTTCCTGCTGGCACTCTGTCCTTCTACAGAGTCTCCTCTGACACTCTGATCCACCTCCACACCTTCAACACCACATTCACTGAACCTCTTTATCCTGGATTTAGATTCTGGTCTCCTGTTTCTTCAGTCTCTTTGTATTGAGTTGAGTGGAAAGAGTGTCCTCCTGTTAGAGAAACACTGACTGTTGAACAGATTGTTCAGTTCTAAAACACAGAGCATTACAGTAATCCAAACAAGATGAAATAAAAGCATGGAGTACTGTTTTAAAATGCGGCCTGGATAAAATAGGTCTTACCAAGCCAAGCACATTTAATTGATAAAGTGGACTTGACAGTAACCCTAATTTGAATATCCAATTAATATCAAATTATTCTCGTTTGGCTCTTGTTGGAGGCGGTCGCACTTTCTCCTTCTCCCTCTCCCTTATCTTTCCTGCTTGGCTTCTCATGTCCTTGTCTAGTCTTGTCTACATTTTTAGGGTTAGGGTTAGAGTTCTCAGACTATGCTCATTGAACCCAACACGGATAAGATCTCGGAGAAGCGTGCTCAGACGGTGCTCTTTGAGCACAAATTTGACAAAATCTTGGAGAAGCTCATGGCTCTCCAACGGGAGATTGAGAGACCAGTGATTGGCATTTAGATCAACTGTAAAATTGAGATGCAGTTGTTCGCACTAAAGGAAAACCACCATCATTTCATGTGGCTACCATATCGGCATCAGACCGAAGGCTGAACAACAACAAATTCTCTCCCTGATAGCAGAACTCTTTAGACTCTTCGTCCCCATCTGGATTCCAAACGCCTCCAAATTCTTATCTCCAGCCAAGGTCAGACGGCAGGCCTGGGCCCAGCGCTGGATAGATGGCTGCAAGGTCGGATGGCTGTGTCTATATCTGCTCACCCCACCCCTCACCTACCTCCATTGCTTGTCATGTGTTTTCATGGTGTTATGATGTGGAGATTTATGTGATTTTTGTGCTGAGGAGTTTTTGTTTTTCTGTTTTCATACTGACCTCCCACCAGGATCCCAGTATGAGTAGAGGTCTTCTTTTCCCACCTCTACCTACCCATTGTATTGTACATTTCATTGTTTTTCCAACTACTACCTGTCTCCGACCTGTAAATGGTAAATGGCCTGTATTTGTATAGCGCTTTACTAGTCCCTAAGGATCCCAAAGCACTTTACATGTCCAGTCATCCACCCATTCACACACTGGTGATGGCAAGCTACAGTGTAGCCACAGCCAGCCAGTTGTCTTGACACAACGACCGAGACTGTCCAAGCCGGGGCTCGAACCGGCAACCTTCCGATTACAAGGCGAACTCCCAACTCTTGAGCCACAATCGCCCATCTTCCCATCTGATGTCTGTGTTATGAATGTATGGTCGGGGAGGTCCAATTTCATTGCAGGTTGTAAAATTTGCATGTGACAAATAAAGTTTCCATCCATCCATCCAATTCAAAATCACTGTCCATCTTAAAACCCATGTTGGTTAGTAACAATAAGTTTAAAATACTGCCAGGGGTCCCAAATCCATAGAAGAAGAATCATAAGGTCCGGTTGAATTACATTTTAAAACGTTTATGGCCATCCAAGTTTTTATATCTACTAGACATGTCAGAAGCAGTTTAATAGAGAAAGCATCTTTCTGCTACAGAGGCAGATAAATCTGGCAGTCGTCAGAATCACAGTGGAAGGATATTCCATACTTTCAGGACAGTTCCCAAGGCCTGTAAATACAGCAGAGGCCTGAGAATTGAGCCCTGTGGGACTCCAAACTGGAGAGTGATGGAAAAGGACTCATACCCTAAAAAGTTAACCCTTAAAGTACTGTCAGAAAGATAAGACCTAAACCAAATCAAAGCTAGGACAAAACACGATCACCTCTGTTTTGGAGTACCAGGAATGACTGCAAGGTGGTGTAAGCAAGACTGTAAAATGTTGTGGTCTGTGGTGTCAAAAGCAACTGTTAGGTCAAGGAGGACAAGAACAACATTACCAAAATCGCAGATAAGGAAGATATCATTAAAAGCCTTTAAGAGTGCAAATAAATAATAATAGATAACTGATTGCAGACTCAGTACTATGGATGTTTTAAAAACCTGATTGGAAGACTTCTAAGATGCCATTCCCATTTTTTTAAAAAAAAATCAATAAATTGGGAAAATATGATTTTCTCCAGGATTTTAGATAGAAATGGTAGCTTGAAGATAGGCCTGAAGTTGGCCAGAGCAGTGTAATCCAGTGCAGGTTTCTTAAGCAGGGGTTGTACTACTGCATGCTTACAATTAGCAGGGACTACACCAGATATTAAACTGATGTTTATGATAGTAAAAACAGCTTGCCCAATGCTGGGTAAAATCTCCTTAAATTAGATTAGATAGGTTATGTTATTAGATAGATTAGATTTAGGAGAGGCCTCCAAACAGCCACTTTGTGGAGCATTTAAGACTAAATCAATGGTGTTAAATAGCACATGTGGATTATGACTGTTGGAGGAAATGATCTTGGAGAAGTATTCCCTTTTAGCCTCTTTGATTGTATCCTGATAGAGATGCCAGCAGTCCTTTAAGATTTGAAGAGACACCTGCAGTTTGTCCGTCTTCCATCTGCGTTCAGCTCTATGACACCTAACCTCTTCACAGCCTGAGTGCTGTTATTAAATCAAGGCTCGGTTTTAGTATTGGGCTGCCTGGGCTGCCTGGTTTTTTTAATGGTGCCACAGAGTCCAGGATAGTTTGGCAGAAAGATTCCAACCAGGAGCTCAGGTCCTCTGTGGGAGTGGAAGTGTTCATGATCCAACAGGAATGCTGGTTCGAACTTAAGTGCGCGAAAACACAGCATCATATAATACAGCCCTGTGGTCAGAGAAGGCAGTTTCAGAGATTTCCACTTTAGACAGATTCATGTGTAGGACCAGGTACAGACTGGACCAGATTAAAACAGTCAGTAAGCATTAAAAAGTTCTTCAGCAGAGGTTTCTCAGGACAGCAGACATGGATATTAAAATCTCTTACAATAAGAATGTGATCACAGTTGGGCATAATCCCAGCTAGAAATTCTGAAAAGTCATGTATGAAGTTCCTATTCTATTTAGGGGGACGATAAATAACAGCAAAGAGCAAGGAGTTAGAGCGATTTACTTCAAAACACGTCAGCTCGAAGCTGAAAGATGAAGGCTGTAGAAAAAACACTGTTTACATTTAAAATCCTTTTTAATTAACAACTGCCATACTTCCCCCTCTCCCTGATGTCCTAGGTGTGTTAAAATAGGAACAACCGGCTGGTAAAAGTTCATAAAAAATACTGGACTCACCAGTGTTCAGACAAGTCTCAGTGACACACATAACGTCCAGATTCCAGGAGGTGAATAACTGCTACACAATAAGAGATTTGTTTGCCACCAATCTGGCATTTATCAGGCCAACCCTGACAGTAGCTGGGGCGAGGTATGAGCCTCAGCAGTACAGGGAGCCCGACACAGCAGCCTCAGAATGTGAAGGATGGCACAGATTGAGCCGAGGAGGGCAGGGGTTGCGAAGGAATGGAGCATCATCCAAGCCGACCACGGGGATCAGGTAGGAATCCACAGGATCCAGGAAATGCCAATGCACGAAAACTTAGAAATACTCCAAGGAATAGGAGTGGGATGGTGCACCAAGGAGAGCTTGAGTTTAACTAGCAGGACAACATGCCATAGTCAGTATTTGTGACAGCAGCAGAATAGAATAGAATAATCCTGTAATTGTCCCACAAGAGGAAATTTGGTTGTAACAGCAGCCAGAAAGACACATATACAAACAAACAGTACACAGGACACAGAACAGAAACATACACAATTTCTTCTTACATATTTACATCAAGGGCAATGTTTACTATAAACAGAGTACTGTACAGAGCTGGCCTTCCTGATGAGTTTATCCAACCTCTTCCTCTCAGCTGCCGATAAACTACTGCTCCAACATACAACATTGTAAAAAATGACGGATGCCACCACAGAGTCATAGAAGGTCCTTAAAAGCGCTCTCTGTACTCTAAATGACCTCAGCCGCCTCAGCAGGTAGAGTCTGCTCTGACCCGTCCTGTAAAGAGCATCAGTGTTGTGGCTCCAGTCCAGTTTATTATTCAGGTGAACACCCAGGTACCTATAAGAGTCCACTATCTCAATGTCCACTCCCTGAATGTTCACCGGTGTCAGTGTGGTGAGCTAAGTGTAAACAGCAGTAAATACTAAATATTGAATGTTGTTGTGCAGCACGCAGGACCGACTGCGTACAATGTGCTTTGAAGTAGCAGCCAAGAAATGTGTAGTTTATGTCTATGAACAGCGAACACCTGGGTGCACAACAGTGTGGATCAGCGCCCTTGTATTCAAAAGGTTTCCCCATGTAACAGTCTGCTAGAGGGTGTAGAGGGTCATAGCCCCATCCCCCAGGACATGAAGCAGGCATGGAGGAGATCCAGGCTCCAGACATCCAGAGGCCCCCGAGTGCAAGAGCCCAAGGAGGACCAACGGAGGGGCATCCGTGCCACCCTCCTGGGTAGAGCTGAGGAGA